TTATATTTCATCTAGTACACAGTTCCTGCAAGGTGGAAAAGAATGTGCAGCCTGTTACCAACATAACGCGCTATTGAACCCAGACGCAATCCAATGCTGATCAAAAATGTCTTAAAGCCTGTTGGGTCCTCAGCTTTCATTTTGTATCTATAAACATAAATCTGTAATTTTAACCACAATTTATTAATGTTAAAGTATTTATTTGCAACGAAAAATGATCAAATAGCCAAGTTAAAAATTGTGTTGAACAGCCGACGTTAATTTATGCAACTATGCTAGACAACGTTTCCATTATACAACAACGCTGTTCTGTAACAACAAAGTTGTTACAAAATTGTTAAACAACATTCCTGCAACTATCGGAAACCAAGCTTATACGAACATTAAAACATTTTGAATTGGATAATTTTATTGTTAATTTATTTTCAAAAAATAACTATATACTACAACATAAACTATATATATATAATATAATATAAATGTTAGATATCATTGGTATGGTTCAATCTTCCTGGTGCATTCTTTAGTTTATTCCCGACTAAACTCGTAATAATTCTTTTTCACTAACGGTATACCTGTCTTGTAACGCTTCTAAAATAAGTAAAGCAAAAATATTTAAAACTAAAAATATCGTCAGCTTAATATATATATATATATATATATATATATATATATATATATATATATATATATATATATATATATATATATATATATATATATATATACATATATATATATATATATATATATATATATATATATATATATATATCTATATATGTATATATATATATATATATATATATATATATATATATATATAACTACACTCTAAATTAAAAAGTGTTAAATTACACCAAAACGGTGTTAATTAACACCGTTTTGGTGTTTTTCATGCTGTACACCGTTTTGGTGTTAATTAACACCGTTTTGGTGTTAATTTACACCATTTTGGTGTATTTCATGTTGCACACCGTTTTAGTGTTAATTTGCACCGTTTTGGTGTTAATTTACACCGTTTTGGTGTATTTCAGGCTGCACACCGTTATGGTGTTAATTTACACCGTTTTGGTGTTTATTTACACCGTTTTGGTGTATTTCAGGCTGCACACCGTTATGGTGTTAATTTACACCGTTTTGGTCTATGCTGCGCACCAACATATATACACAACATATATGTTTTATATATAAAACATATATTAAACAAATAATTATTTATAAAAATACAAAAAATTCATATTTATATTCTATTCACAAAAAATCTGTGTTAAGATACAATAAATGTTTTACAATATTATTTTATAATATATATAAGATTTAAATAAAGAATTACAATAAAGATTTTAATAATTAATTTGCCTTTATTGATAAAGAAAGACTTTTTTTTAAAAGAGTAACTGCCAACATTTCCCAAAATGTTTTTGAACCTGAAGGATATTCCAGGTTCAAGGCATAAAAAAAGCATAATTTAGCGTGTATAATGTCAAAAAGAAAATTTTTCTGGGCGACCACAACACCTTCAATACATAGAATGTATTCTTCTCCTTCGAGGTAGACTGTGGGTTGCATGTCGGCAACCTCAAGTTTTTGCTTCACAATAACAGAGCGAGGATTTAAATAATGATTGATAGCCATCAAAAGTTTGTCATCGTCATATTCCTAATTTCATTAAAAAAGTATTAATAAACATTTTTTTTAAATCCATAAATAAACAATTTCATAATTTTTAATTTAATTAATAATTCCTGTAATAAAAAACCCTAAAAACAAGCTAAACTTTTACGTTTGCAGCAAAAAAATAATTTCAAACTATATTATGACATACTTGTGGTGTCTTTAGAGCTTTTCTCAGAAGATGCCCGTTTGAAGCTAAAAAAGCTCGGCAAGTTGGAACTTCAAGACCAACATCCAATTCAACCTCTTGATGCCAGAGTTCCTCGCTATGAATGATAGCCGGAAAGCGTTTTATAATATCAGCAACTTTAGGGAAGCTAATGGAAATCCATTCTTTACGTTAACGAAAAGTATATCTCGTACGTTTTTTAAGAAAATCAACATCTTGCTGGCATTTCCTCATCTCAGCCTGCATGGCTAGCTCATGAAATTAATAGCTGAAATCATCTTCACCATCATTATCCGGATTATGTGTTACAGTTGTAACAGAAGGTGTTTTTTATTTTACGCCTAAACACAGAGATATACACACATAAATTTTGATATATATATATATATATATATATATATTTTTATATATATATATATATATATATATATATGTCTATATATATGTCTATATATATATATATATATATATATATATATATATATATATATATATATATATATATGTATATATATATATATATATATATATACATATATATATATATATATATATATATATATATATATATATATATATATATATAATATATGGTATATATTTTTTTGCATGCAAACACTGTAAGAGATTCAGGTTGGCAGTTGTATGCCATTGTAAAGCAAAGATAGGTCGGCTTTTGCGTCGGCATTGCCTAATGCAGTCTCTAACCCAAACACTAAATGAGTGGACTACCCCTTATGAGTAGACTAATCCTTTATGATGCTCTCCTTAAGTCAGTCAATGTGTGTACTAATTACCTTTCATACAAGTTGCTGACCGAAAAAAATGACATTTTTTACAAAATAAAAATATGTTTACAGTGCCAATAAAAACCGGGTACACAAAAATGTCCCTGTAATTATGTAGCAATAACAATTTTGGTATAATTATGATTTATTTTTTACTTACTTGCACTGAAAAGCTTTTTTCGTTGGCACTAAGTTTCTTCTAAAGTTTTTAAACTTGTTCGTTAGACACTTAATCCACATTGAGCCATCTCCATTTATGTCTATGAGGGTTGGATACTGTAGAAGCATTTTATTCACTATTGCCCTCAGATTCTCGGGAGAAGGATACCTTTTTAAAGAAAAATTAATTTAAAATTACTGTTAACAAATAAACTAAAACGAATTTAGCAACCCTCGGAATTAGAAAAACTAAAGTCATAAACTGTTTTAGGTCAGTATAAGGTCGGCAAATAAATTTCTTCACAAAGGTTTCACCATTAAAAATAGAAACAGGTCAACAAAAAATGACTGATCTCAAACACATTTATGTCGGCAATTAGATCTGCATTGCTGAATGCTGACCCTAATTATGAGGGTTGTTTTAGGTCAAATTATGTTTTGCATTTTGATTTAAAATAATGTCAAAGTAATAAAAATTGGAATAAATATTAATATACTAACAATGTGGTTTTGCAAATTGACAAAAAAAGCTAATCTACAATCTGCAATCTTGTGGAGGATGTGAAATTGACTAGGTTAGGTTGATTTTCAATAAATTGAGCAGATAAATCAAGAAGCTCCAAGGTTAGCCTCTTACGATAAACACTCAAACTTGATGTTTTTTTAGATGATTGGGTTAAAGAAATATGCTTTGAAGTCAATGGTGGTGAATTTAATGATATGTTGCTTGTATTTTCAGCCTCCATTACACTACAAATCACAAAAACAATGCAATTAAAATTAACATAAAATAAATAGACAGTGAAACTAGATTAACATAAAAGTCAAGTATTGTATGCAACAATTATTCATCATCATCATTATCATCGTTTCAGCGTCCTTGTTTCCGTGCTTGCACGGGTTGGACGTTTCTCACAATGCAATTTTTCAAGCATACACGATCTTAAACATCTTCTTTCCTTAAATAAAGCTTTTTTAAATCATCTGAAATAGACTTTCCAAGTTTTTCTGTTTCTACCTCTACCTTTTTCTCCTGAAACTTCTAACTATCTACATGCTGATAACCAGTCATCTGCATCCTTACGCTCTACACGCTGATCTAATTGTATCTTCAAGATAAAAAAATTTACTAACACACTCTATCTTCACTCCACTTGTTATTTCAACCTCTTTTCTAACTTCTTCTCTATACTCACCAACAGTACATTTTCTACACTCAAAACCAACAATCTTAAGAGAACCTTTTATACCACTACATCTCTTATAAACCCATTGCTTGCAAACTGTACAAACAATAGAATTTACTCCAACTCCCTTTCTACACAATCCACATGGCCACTTCCTAGTATTTTTTGTTTGCTCGTTCTTGACTTTACAGTGCATAAATTTTGTCTTCAGGCACAAATCATCTGCATAGAATAACTCCCATGGGAAACCAACTCTGAACTCTTTAGAGAGAGCTTCCAAAACGATTATAAAAAGCAAAGGACTAAGCACTGAACCAACCTTTACTTCAAATCAATCTCTGTCTCTTGTTTTGATTGTTGTTGTGACATTTTCATGAATAACCATTATGACTGTCACTAGCCATTCTTTAACACCTAAACACTTTAAAACCCACCACACAATCTCTCTTGGTACTCTGTCGAAAACTTTTTCAAGTTCTACTATTCTCTATGGTCTACTATTCTATTATGGTCTATTGTATGCAGAAAAAGAACCCAAGCAGCAATTTTATCAGGTCATGTCAATTATGCCTAATTGAAAAAGAAAAAAAACTTATGTAAATAAAAACATCAAGAAGTAAAGAAAATAAAAACACTCTGATATAAAAAAACAATCTGATCTATAAATTTAAGTTTTGTGGTTTTTAAAAAGGTTCAACTTTTGGTGAACTAATAATTTCACCTAAAAGAGTTTTGGTAATGTAAAAGTTTTTTCTTACCATGATTGGTATAAGATTAAAGAATTCCAAAGACTAAAAATTTGAAATACATATATCAGCTTTTTTGTTTAACCTGTCATCAACAGTAGTGATCTAATCTAATAGTAGTAACCATTTAATTAAATTGAAGTGTAAAACACTAACCTGTCATCAAATAGAAGTGCCATACAAGATTGTGGTCTAGAGGTACAAGCTTTGCTAAAAAAACACTTTTAAATTTAGAAGGTCATGACATAATTATAAATTTAAATTTAATAAAAAATAGAATTATAATTTACAGACTTGGCAGAAATTGCTTTACTAAGTTCAGGCCAGTTTGTGTTAAAGGCTTGCTTGACAAGACATGGAAGAGAAGACACATCAGTTTCCTTAGTTCCTTTAAGAATAATTTCTACATCGACAAAATCATTTCTTGTTTTATCATACGCAGCCCTTTTCTAAAATTAGCATGCCATTGTGTATTGGATATTTTTAAAGTTCTTAGAGTTTGATGCAAACTTTTTGTGCACCTGATGGACTGCTTCAAAACGCAAACAAGAAGCCGCACTGAGGGTTCCGTGCTGCTCAAGGAGATGAGGGTAATGCATTGTGTAATGTTGTTTTGGTGATACAGAACTATTGGGAATTTTTCCATCACTGATACCAAATGTCTTTCACATATTTCCTTGAACTTTGGTAGGTGCTCTATGTCAAATGATGGTGCAAAACTATTTGAATTGAAATGTATTAATCAAAGTATTGATCTGTTTCCAAGTTATGAACTTGCTTTCAACCGCATATTTTAATATCAACTTCATCTCCTTTGGGCAACATCCTTCAAGTAGATCATGCATAATATCAGGAGGAAGAGATAGAACAGGGTGAAAATTCTTGAGATAATTAAGTGGTGAACAACTGACAACACCATAAACAGTACTCAAAGAAGCATCATCCTGAACCTTTTGTACAATAGCATTATGATTACTGACAGTTCGTAAAATGAAATCTTTTGATGCATATAATGTTTTCAATCTGGGTTTAGTTATCATACAGTAACGACATGGTCTAGAAGAGTTAAAACCACGTGTAAAACTACTAATGAGATGAGACCCTAAATTATCTCCAAGAAAGCTAACAAAACATACAGGATAATATTTATCCTGGATTACTACACCATTTGATTGTAAATCATTTAAGTCATTTATGAATACTTTAAGAATAGCAAGAAGGCCAAATTCTGTGATGTGGGTTGCTGAAGATAACAGAACAAGATTGTGATGCTTTAACTGACTTCTATACTGTTTTTGCAAATTTATAATTGAAAAATAAAGACAAAATGTTTTGTGTTTTTTTTAAGTGTGTTGCCGCAAAGAGTTTAAATTAGATCCAAAATATCTGAATATAATATGATTCCTATACTTTCTGGATAGTTAGCAAAAAAATTATTCTGCTGAAGTAACTTTCCATGTACAAAACCACCGTCGATTTTTGGAGGGTTTCTTATTGAATTGGCATTCTTTGTTGCAGATAATTCTAACTGTTCAATCATATTAGCTGAAGACAAATATTTCTTGAGATTTTCTTCGATTGGTACATAAATATAGTGTTTTTTTGAACTCGAGAGAAAAACTTTTACAGGAATTACATAAGAAAATTCATTATTTAACAAAGATTCATACTTTGATTTAACTGAGCATGTTATAATAGATGGACCCATAATCTCATTGAAATCTTTTACCATGCATAGTCCGATAAATTTTCATTGAAAGTAGTTTCAGGAACAAATTTCCTGGAAGTAAATTTCAGCTTTAAGTCACAAAAGAGCTTTTCATAAGACTGTTGTAAAACTAAACTTTCCACTTCCATAATTTGATTTTCAGCGTTAATAGTGATAGCTTCATGCGAGATCGGAACACGCATGTTTGTAAATGGTAAATTAGTAAGATTAATTTTATGTTTTCTTGATGAATGTGATGTTAATGAGCTATAACACGAAAATTGCTGGTAGCAAACATGGCATTTATATTTTTGCATCGGATGGAAGTGATATACATGACCACGTTGTTTTCTTTCATTTATGCACTTGAAAAAGCAGTATGGACAGTAGTGCATTGGCAGATCACTAATAGAATATAAATAACTACTTGTTTAGTATTGTGAAAAGCAGATACTCTGTTTAAAAAATATATAGTTTCTCATCAATAAAAAGAACTAAATTAAAAAAAAATACCAGACATGACAATCAGCTCATTTTTTTTGAAATTGTTAAAAATTTAAAAAATTACAAAAAAATTTTTTTTTTGGTTATTATTGCTATATCCAGACTTTATTTTTGAAGTCTGGGTACAGTAATTCTCAAATCATATTTTTAACCAAAGCTCTCTTGAATGCCTTACTTACCCCTTAAATCAGATTTTCTGATGAGTCTTTATTGATGAAACACAGTGTTAAATGAGAAAAAATTTTACTAAGTGATTTTCTACTAATTTGTAATTGCTCTGTTCTTTTAAGAACATTGAGCACTCTTATTGTAGAATACATTTTAATTTGTATATATATATAATATATATATATATATATATATATATATATATATATATATATATATATATAAATATATATATATATATATATATATATATATATATATATATATATTTTACATCACTCATTATCATATAATGATATCATATTTTAAAATGAATATATGTTAATTAAATAATTACTTACTTCAGATCTTGAACTTGCAGTAATGCAGGAGTAGAAGTAATGGGATCATGGACTGATTCAGGAGAAGTCTGATCCTGAATAACATGTGGAACGAATTCTGATAATGGAAGTAAAAATTTAATGTTAATAAATAATACAATTTTGTCATTCAATGTAATAATATATGGTTATATAGTTAAAAAATCTACTTAAAAAAAATTGTATAATTTTCAGATAATAGTAGCACTTGCGTTCAACTTAGCATTAGCTAACACAAAATATTTATAAATTAAAGTATAGTAGCATACTATATTTCTTATATAACTTAATATAATCACCTAATAATAACAATAATATTGAATGGTTATATTAACTTGTATAAGTTAAGGAAATATCATTTAGAATTATTCCCTTATATAGTATTATTATTAATAACTGTTTAATTTTAAACAATACTACAGTATAATATATATATATATATATATATATATATATATATATATATATATATATATATATATATATATATATATATATATATATATATATATGTATATATATATATATATATATATATACATATATATATATATATATATATATATATGTATATATATATATATATATATATATATATATATATATATATATATATACATATATATATATATATATATATATATATATATATATACATATATATATATACATTTATATATATACTATTATTATTATTATTTAATAACTAATAATTAATAATGCAACTTTTAAAATAACAAGTTACCTTTTTCAAGAAACTGTGAAAGCGTGGTTTCAGGTTTAACAACTATACCTTAAGGAATATCAGATGTAAATGATGCATATACAGGAAAAACTGGCATTTTTTATTAATTCTAGTTACCTTGGTCAAATAAATTAAAAATTAAGCTTTAATTTTTAAACTAAAACCTTTTCGCTACATGAAAACTATTTTTATTAAGTGATATGCATGTAGATTAAAAGGCCTAGTGTAAATTGCATTATTATAATGCAATTTTACACTACGCCTTTTAATCTAGATTAAACACATGTAGATATCTACATATAATAATATAATAATGATTATAATATTATTTTCAAATATTATTATTATTATTATTATAATATGTTATTATATGTTAATGTTATTATTAAAATATTAATAACAATAGTATTATCAATAGCTTAATTTAAGTAGTAGTTGCTAATAAAAAACTCTTTAATTTTATTTTAACTCAAAATAAGAAAGATTATTATCACGTTGTTAATATTAAATTAAGCCTTGATTTGATAATAACAACGTGATAATCTTTCTTACTTTGAGTTTAAGTAAAATTAAAGAGTTTTTTATTAGCAACTACCTAAATAAGCTTTAGTATATTATGAATTATTGTGAATTAGTATACTACTTCACTATAACTCAAACTATTTCCATTTCTCCTCATAAAACAATCTTTCCAAATTCTTTATAAACCACATTTTTACGTATTATAATCTTTATATACTTTATATAATCTTTATATACGCGTACCACAGCTGTATCGTTACCACTTTCTTACATTTAAAACTTTTAAATTTTTTACATTTTAACCCTTTCGTTACCGATACCCCGCATAGCGGGTAATAAAATATGTTAAAATACCAGTACCCCGCATAGTGGTGGATAAAAAAGTTTTGTTTTCTGTCAACCCCGGGTTTTTTGAGCAACTCTAAAACTTAGCTCAATAGAAAATAGAATAATAATCCAAATATACAGCGAAGAAAGCTTTGTTAGATTAGCTGATATTTAATTTTGAATAAGTAATATTTTTATATTCATCAAAGTTAAACAAAATACTTGTTCCTGATGGTACTATACACAGGTCTACTGGGTGTCATTTCCCAGTAACCAAACAGCCATCACACGATGCAGCAGATAGACGTCCATCTAAATTATGCAGAGTATGCTATGCACGACGAACTTTTAATAAAAATGAAAAACACAAAAAACTGTGCATGTATGCCAAACTTGCCCCTGTGACCCTGGTTCACAGGGGCAAGTTTGGCATACAAAATTTTACATATTCCTAGCTGCTTTGAAATCTATCACATTGTGCTAGATTTGCTGTAAAAATTAGTATATACCTGTTTATTTATTTGACATATCTTACTGTTGTTACTTTTTGATTTTATTATTTTTATTTGTTCTTTTTTGAAGAAAGCATCATAATTTAAATTTTTGACCAAAAGACTCACTAACCTAATAAAATTAATAATTTATGATAACATGTTTATGACTTGAAACTTTACAGAATTACTTATTATATATGTCTGATTGTTGACTCTAAGTTTGAAAAAATTTTGATCAAAATAAGATGCATTTTTATTTTGTTGAATTTACAAATAAAATATTATTTAGTTTTCAAAATATGCTATTTTTAATTACAAGACCTGATGATTTTTTTTTTCTAAGTTTTTGTTTTATTTTATGAAAGATAAATTGTTATGTTAAAAAGGAGCCAATTTTTGAACCTTTTTTAAACCCATAATATAATTTTGTTGGTAGTTGGGTTAAAACATCCTTTTTTGTCACGGTAATATAAGGTTGCCTAGCCCGGTAACAAAAGGGTTAAATGGTTTAAACATTCACGAGCACATTTTTTTTAAGCGTTTTGCTAACTTTAACCCCTCCCCCTCTTATTTCACAAAAGATGTTTGTGACCTAAGTGACCGCAAGTATATATTTCGGCAACCCCTCTTTCCTTTGAAAGTATGTCACATTTCAAATTTTAAACCTTTTGAAACGGTATAGTGAATAAAAAAAGATGTTACTTTACACCTTTTTTGTAAGAAAAAAATCCTTCAGAGTGTATAATTACACCAAAACGGTGTATATTTACACCTTTTGCTTGAATCGTTTTTAATAAACACCGTTTGAGGCTATATTATCACCAAAACGATGTAATTTTACACCTTTTTGGTGTAATTACAAAACGGTGTAATTTTACACTTTTTTGAAGTAAATAGAAAACGGTGTAATTTTACACCATTTAATTA